TGCTTTGTCTTTAAAACATGTTTCTCCTTTTCTCAACCAGGGAAATATAATATTCTGCCTTTTTAATATTTCATAGGATATTTCATTTTTCTAGTAGAGGGGTGGGTGCTAACTTCCTTCACCATTACTAGATTTTTGCTAACTAGGATTGAACAATGAGGAGATTTGTTACAGATAAGAGTTGGGGTATGGGAAGAAGGGATCATTTGTTCTATTTTAAGAGAAAGTTACTAACATTGCTTCAGGGTGGGTTCTGGCATTCACTGCTTCTGGTTCGCTCGTGGATGTGTCCCATACGCGCTTTCCAAATGCATGCGCAGAGCAATAAAATTGTTCTGCACATGTGCAGAAGCAAAAAACAAGATGGTGGTGTCCGAAGAACTGGTTCAGGGGCATGGCAAGCCTGTGTTATTGCTGGTTGCAGCAACCCAGGCCACCAAACCACTACCGGTTCAGCCGAACTGGTCCCATTGCATTGCTTATACTTGTAGTGATGAAGGGCTAAGCCCTTCTTTTCCAGTATTTCTAAGGCCAGTATTTTTTTTAAAAAAAAAACTATGTTCTTATTGTTTATTTTCTATTCTATTTTTTTCTTTTCTATTCTATTTTTTTCTTTTCTACGCTTTCTCCCCCCCCTTTTTTAGTTTGTATTCAGTATCTTTTTAATTGTATTTTTAAATAAACTTACTATAATCTCCTGCTAAATCCTAAGGAGAAAGTGTGTTTTTTGCACAACCAAAGAGGCTTCGGTATTATATTCCCTAGACTTAGATTCATTTAATCCTAAATTCCTCATGTTCTATTCTTGGAGATTCCTTGTATACTTTCCTGAAGTTTTCTTGGGAGGTTCTCAGAAGTGGCTGCCATTGACTCCTTTCTAGGGCTAAAAAAGTGTGACTGGCCCAAGATCACTCAGCTAGCTTTGTGCTTAAAACAGAATTAGAACTCATAGTCTCCCAGTTTCTAGCCTGTATGCCTTAATCACTACAATAAGTGGCTCTCTCGTGAATTCTTAAATAAGGATAATTAGCAGAACAAATTGCCTTGTTTGGGAGTCTATGAAAAAAAGTCCTGTTAGTTGAAATTGAACCAGGATGTTCTTTAGCCTCTTGGAATTTACCTCACTTATTTATAAAGGAAGTTAATAATTTGCCATTTTTTCCATGCATGGTTACATACATGACTGTTCCAATGAAATTGGAACCTCTCCTACACTGTCTTCTGATTATCGAGCCCTGCATGATCTGAGTCAATAGAATTATCTGCAATACCATGATGATAATGCAGTAATTTTTTAAGCTGCGTAGTTCCTTATGACAGCCATTGGAACTGTAGTGTTGCCTTGATATAATTCTGACTAATGTGTACAGGATAGCAGTCTAAAAAATAATCACAGTGAGATTAAACCTGAAGAACAACTGACATTTTTGCTGCTTACATTGTTCCCAAAGAGAAAGCCTCCTCCCATATAAAAAACTAAATATGAGGATACACAGCCTTCCAGATGCAATACAATACAATAGCAGAGTTGGAAGGGACCTTGGAGGTCTTCTAGTCCAATCCCCTGCCTAGGCAGGAAACCCTATACCATTTCAGACAAATGGCTATCCAACATCTTCTTAAAGACTTCCAGTGTTGGGCATTCACAACTTCTGGAGGCAAGCTCTTCCACTTATTAATTGTTCTAACTGTCAGGAAATTTCTCCTCGGTTCTAAGTTGCTTCTCTCCTTGATTAGTTTCCACCCATTGCTTCTTGTTCTACCCTGTTATTGTTGCATTATAATCTCCAGAATTCCTCATGATACATTACACTCTCCTAGATATTTTTTGTTTTTTGCTAAAAGAGCTTAAAATAAAGGTTCCCCCGCACATGCTTGCTAGCCATTTCCGGCTCTAGGGGGCGGTTCTCATCTCCGTTTCAAAGCTGAAGAGCCAGCGCTGTCTGAAGATGTCTCTGTGGTCATGTGGCCGGCATGACTAAATGCCAAAGGTGCATGGAACACTGTTATCTTCCTACCAAAGGTAGTCCCTATTTTTCTACTTGCATTTTAAATGCTTTCGAACTGCTAGGTTGGCAGAAGTTGGGACAAGTAACGGGAACTCGTTCTGTTACGTGGTGCTAGGGATTCAAACTTGTCTGTGCTGTCATATTGTTTTAGATCTGGAATGTGCTGAGAATTCAACCATTTTTCAGTGCGCACACATAAAAACTCCAAAGCTTGCCACCGAATAGTAAATTACATATGACAAATGTTAAACCATTAAATGTTATTTATTTAGAAATTTGTACTTATGTGATCGTAACTTCCTTTACTAAGCAAGTCCATTGTTAAGTGAGTTATATCCAATTTGACAAACTTTTTTGTCCCTGTGGTTAAATGAATTGCTCCATTTGTTAAGTGAATCATGTGATCATTAAGGAAACCCAATTTCCCCAATTGGCTTTGCTTGCTGGAAGCCAGGTGGGGACGCTGCAAATGGCATTTACATGACCCCAGGGTGCTGCTGTAAATCTATGCATTTATTTATGCCCTGCCTTTATTATTTTTATGAATAACCCAAGGTGGCCAACATATCTAATATTCCTTTCTCCTCCCATTTTCCTCAGAACAACAACAACCCTGTGAGGTGAGTTGGGCTGAGAGAGAGTGACTGGGCCAAGGTCACCTAGATGGCTTTCAGGGCCAATGCCAAGCATCCAAATTTTGATTATGTGACCGTGGCAATGCTGGAATGGTTGTAAGTCACTTTTTTCAATCGTTAACTTCGAATGGTCAATAAATGAATGATGGTAAGTTGGACACTACCTGTAGGCTACCCTGTGCAATAATGGGCTTGGGTGTCTTTCAAGAATCACTAACTTCAATTTGAAATACACTATATTGTTGGTGGCATCATTATTATTCCTGGAAAAGCATAACAGGGACAAACAAACCTCAATTATAGAAAGATGTATTACTTAGAACAGCACATACATTGTGATATCATTAATTATCCCAAGATCCTTGAGGAAAATTCAATAGTCTAATAGTCAAAACTAGCAAAATCGGTAATAACTATCTGGTATACAAAGAATAGTAAATTAAAACATTTTTATTTTTTGCCTTGGCCTTCCACCTTTCTGAAATCTGGCAAAGTTGCAAACCGTTGCTATAAATCTTACAAAACTCCTATCACTTTTGTTTTCACTGTGATAACCAGTGCTATCACTAGATCCAGCAACGCTTCCCTGGTACCTATCAAATTCCATTTTCATTTTATTTAACATTCTTCAGTATATTAAACAGGAAATTATAATACTGCAAAGCATTTGTTTTAAGCACCATTTTTCTCCAAATATATATGGGTCTTACATAGACTATAGAAAAAGAATTGAAAAATTGAAATGTTAGCTTTGGTTAGAACAGCATCCACCTGCAAGAAAGGAAAGGCAACAATAGGCTTAAGGAGTAAGAGAGCATTCTCAGAAGTTGGTGGGGGGTGATGTAGAGAAGTGTTTTTCAACATTGGCAACAACTTTAAAATGTGTTTAAAATGCAATTGGCTGGGGAATTCTGGGAATTGAAGTCCACATAATATATTTAAAAATTGCCAAGTTTGAAAACAGTGATGTGCAGTGATGTGCAGCAACCTTAACATGCCCACAATGGCAAAAATTGAGTGGAAGTAGTTATATCATGTTCTCAAAATTCCCATTCAATGTGGTCACCCAGAGCCCAAAAAGATCAAGGACTCTTCCCTTAAGATACAAAAACTATCACCTTCAGATAACTTTGTAACCTTGTAATTAATACTTTAACAACTAAGGTATATTAATAGAATTTGGAAAGAAAGTGTGATGTATTTGAAGAAGGAACAGTAGGTAGACGTAAGATAGAGACCATTGGCTCAACAGATACGGTGAAATGAATATGCCTACGTGATAAATAAGTACACATTCAAATAAAGCTGGGAATTTCCTGCAATAAAAATAGCTCCAACACAAGAATGAAATGAAACTGATACTGATTTCCTGCTTCTTGATCATTAATCAGCCTGGATAAAAGACAGAGGGGGAAGGACTGTGACTCTGGAGAAAGACATGGTTACTTTACAATTTTCCACCAGAAGTTATTTGGGTTCTCATGCATATTCTAAATCATATGTTGCCCTTCAAATTCAGTTTTCCACACAGGTCCAACTGCTTTCCATTTTCATGAACTATAAAATAGTTAATGGACTTGAAAACTGTTCCTAATAAATTAGTTACAGTCCAGTGAGTTATTCATTCTTTTGATAAGGTGAAATCTCTCTCTCCCTCCCTCCCTCCCTCCCTCCCTCCCTCTCTCTCTCTCTCTCTCTCTCTCTCTCTCTCTCTCTCACACACACACACACACACACACACACACACACACACACACTTAAATGGCTGCCTAAAAAGCAACAGGACTTACCTATGAAGTGTGGAAGGGGATGAAAATATGAATAGTTGTGATTCCTGTTACTAGAACATTTTAAAATATTAAGTTGACTGGATCTTGATACAAATGTTGTTTTGTTGCATAAAACTTCACCAAGTGTTTAGCTGTCTGGTTGGAACTAAACCAGCTGCAGCTAAAAAAGAAAGTATAAAAGAATAAAAATTCTCTCCCTGCTATAAATTCTAGAGCAGAACCTGTTTGATCTAATGAACCCCTTTTCCTGGTCTAAATGATACTACACCCTAAAAGGAAAAAAAAAGGACTGTTATTTTAGACAGGAATCTCAGCAGTGGCAGTCGCAAATAGGATCCTCAATGCACAATTACAAATCGCTCCATTATACCCAGGATGTGCTCAAATTACCCTCCTAATAATTACCCCCAGTTTAAAAACCACTTTTCTGGAGAAAGCCAGATCCAAACAGACAAGGAAGAAAAAGGAAGTTACACATAGTTTTGGAAAACAAACTGTTAAAAGGAAAAGCTAGGACACTTTTCCCCCCATAGCTGTCCATGTGTTCAAGTAGCTGCCCAACTCACCTGTATGGAACGAATGGAAAACAGTATCTTGGCAGAAGCACTCGGCTCTTCTTGGATTCCACTTGCTTGTCCCCGTTAGAAAGTCAGATCTGAACTGTCTGAAGGCAAGCTTTGCTTTAGTGAGTGATAGGGGGATAAATGCATCCTCATCTATGGCAGCAGGCCAGAGAGGAAAGGTTGAAATAAGAGCAAGCGTCTTCTGAGTGGAGTCAGGCGCTACCAAAAGTTCAGATCTGAAGGTGGGTGTGACTAAAAACATCACATGGAGGAGGGGAACTAGGTAATGGAGGAAAGGGAACTCCCACTGCAGCCAGCAGCATTCCTGGGTGTGCCTCTTCTATGTAAATGTCCAGCAGTCAATTTCACTGAACATATTGCTTCACTCAGTCCACAGAGAACTCCTGGGTGCTCTGATGCATTTCTTCTTTCTGATATTACACAAGACTCCTAGGATTTTTGAAACAAGATTTTAGAAATCAAGTGGTCTGTCTCAGTGATTCTAATTCATTGATTTTCTGATGGCCTCTGTTTGATGTCCACTTTTGCAAACATTTTCAAGTATAGTTAAATAGGAATCATACATAAGTGATAAATATACATAAATTACTCAGCCTATGAAGTAGGGCAATAGGGGAGATATTAGGAGATATTAATGATCCAGAACTTGGAAACAACATTGGACCCTGAGAAAACAGATATTTCAAATTCCTTTGTTGGAGTTTGTGGGTGAATCCCCCCCCCCCCAAGGTTTTATGATCTAATATAACTGTACCGTAGTTGCTTGATGGACTGTTCTCTTAATATTCTAGGCTATTTAGATAATCACATGGGTGCAGAAATAAATTTGAAATATTCTGATTATTGGTATACAGTTCATTTTAAGCTGTTATATGTGTTTTATTCAGTTTTGGTTCAGTGTGTTGTGAGAACTCAGGGACTGCAGTTTATAAATAATGTTTAAGCTTACAGCTAATGGTCATTCTGCTTGGAAAAACCTTCCACATCTGGAGCTGCCAAGTTGGAAAAGATGTATATATCTGGTCAATTGTTACTATGTTAATCACATTTAAATCAATACACAGTCTCAGGCTCTCATTCCTTATTTTGTTAATCTGATTTGAATCACTTCTGTGGCATGTAGAACATATTTTTTCATAACCTTTGAACAATTGTAGCTTTTAACAGAAGATCAAGTACACTGATAATAAGAAAAGATAGCAAGTTCCATGAGTCACCTGAATAGGGATTACCTTTGTAAATCCACTTTATATGGGGAATAAGACATGAATTTTATTAAAACAATAGACATGGACAGGGCTTGGCTCTAACTGTTCTGGTTTAAACAATTAAAATTTCATTGTTATCATTAGTTTTTCTATATGCATTGTTGCAATTATATATAGATAGATAGATAGATAGATAGATAGATAGATAGATAGATAGATAGATAGATATTAAATATATATATATATATATTTAAAGTCACAACCCCTGGTATGCCCAAATATGGGAGGAAGGTCACACTTCCACTCTCTGTCTTCGGCTCGTCACAAGAGACCATCCAGACAGAAACCCAATATTTTTTACTGTTGCCTTTTTGTTACATTTGTTATATTTATGCTGATAAATAAATAAAGGGAGACTAGTATAGATCTATTTCAAGCTATTTAGCTCTCATCAGCTAGCCACACCCTTGTTGGGAATCGAACCTGTGCTCTATTGCCTCTTAGGCAGATGTGGGATATATATATCCCAAAACACAAGATGCAACATTAGCTCTTCTTTTAAGTGCATTATATTTTATTATGGTGCATCACTTTGAAAATAATTAATTTAGTTCACAGAGGCAACATATTTATAGATTATACATTTTGTCACAGATACCAGAAAAAATAGGAAAAATATTAACTGAAAGGTTATTTATAAATTAGTTAGTTTATATTGTGATTTAAGAATTGGTAAAGAAAAGCCGGGAAATATACAGAACAAGGAATAGGAGAAGAGGTAAGCACAAATGAGTTACAGGAAGATAAATTGGAAAAAGAAGAATTGAAAATAAAATGCAGATAGAAGATTTCATTGGGATTTACAGTCACAAAGAAAAAGCAGAGAAAGAAGTTCTCCCAAAAAAGAAACCACAAAATAGTAAGGAAAGGAAGAGAACAGGGAAAACCCTGGGGAAAGTTACTAGAATAATAAAAGTAAATACTCCGAAGAAAAGATACAATAATCACAAAAATAGGGGGGGGGGGGGGAAGAAGAGAAAGAATTAAAACTGGAATTTTTGGGAGCCCAAGAGAAAACAGTTAAAAGAGGAAGAAAGGGAAAAAGATTAGTAGACTAAAAAGAATAGTAGTAAGATTTTTATTGTGATGTAACTAATTAAGAAATAAATGATAGTATATTGTTAATTGTAGAAAAAATGGAAAGAAATGCTCTCCATGCTTAAATTGAATTAGAGAATGTATGATGCTTATAGCAAAATATATCAATGTAGAAAATAAGAAAGGTAAATTTGGTGTGACTTTGAAGATATTGTTTTCATATTAAAAAATAATCATAAATATGAAAAATAATGGAAGAGAATAATTTGGCAGAAAGTGAAAATGAAACTATGATGTAAAAAGGACTATGTAAATGAGAGGATGTAAAAGAAAAGACAACTTTTGTTCCTATAATATGTATAATTTGTATTAAAAATAAGAAATCTTGAATGAGAAAAAAAGAACTGCTTTCATTGTTGTTACTGTATGTAATATTAAGAACAATATATAAAATAATTTATTTGTCAAATTAATATATGTTACATTAGAAATATTCAAGCAGTATAAAAGAGAAATTGTGGACAAATGACTGGGGAAAACCACTTTCTTGCTATAACTACCAGTATATATATTTTCTTGCCTTTTGCTCACCAACCTTTCCCAGCCAGCTACAGGTCAAGAATCACACTCTTACTAAAAATATCAGATGTATTTCCTCATTTCTGTGTCACTAAAACCACATATTACTCTTTAGTTCCCTGCTAAACAAGGGTGAAGCGTTTCTTGTCCTTTGAAACTTTTGTTTGGTTTGGGTGATGTCCTTCCTACTCCCAATTTACTTCAGTGTCATAACATCACATGACTATAGAGATTTGAAAGTTGACCTATTTAAACTCTTTGCCTTGTTCTACTCTCCACAACTGCTTACAATCCTAATAACGTGTTTGAGGAGGTTATGGAAGGCACCTTCAAAATGCTAGACTCCAGTGACCTCATGAAAGTAAGACAATGCAAACAGGAGTAGGTTGCTGCCAGTTTTACTACCAGTTCTCAACCCATTCACACACGTGTGCGCTGTTCAACGTAAATTATTCTTCGCACATGCGCAGAACAATTTACAATGAACTGTGCATGTGTAGCAGTGGTGGGATTCAGCCAGTTCGCACCTATTCGGGAGAACCGGTTGGTAACTTTCTAAGCAGTTCAGAGAACCGGTTGTTGGAAGAAATCTCCTTTTGTGTTTTCACCACTTTACAGGGCTAATCCTGTAAGGAAGGCAGGAAGTTGTTTCTAACCTAATCTTTATTGCTCTGCTTTCAGAAACTGCCTCTTCTGTTAACCCTTATTACATTGTAACAGCTAAGGTGAAGCGCCCATTGACCTGAGTGACATTGAGTTGACCACACCCACCCAGTCACAAGACCACCAAACCATGCCTACCCAGCTGGTCATTAGGGCAGAGGACTGGTTATTAAATTATTTGAATCCTACCACTGATGCGTAGTCACTAAAAACCAAAATGGTGGTGGCACATTGGCGCCAAAGGAACCGGTTCGGGGGCGTGGTAGGCCTGGGTCACTGCTAATTCTGTGACCCAGGCTTGAATTCCACTACCAGTTCGGCTGAACCTGGCTGAACCTCTGAATCTGAATGCTAAAGCAGGATCACTTTATGTATTTCTGGCCTTTGCTGAATTTATTATCTCAGCAAAGTCATTGTTTTATTTACATTCTGAGCCTGCAGATGAACAAGCTTCTCTTTTGGTAAGGTCTCTTACCTCACCCTGCTTCTCCTTGAGTTTGAGAGCTGAAGGCAATCTCCAAATCTCAGGCTGAAATAGCAGTTTGCCTTTGATCGGTTCCCGTGAAAGATAAAAACAAACATAATTCTGGTCAATCTTCCTCTGGCTTCCTCTGACTATTATTTATGAATTGTATTTATTAGAACATTTATATGGCTGTCCATCTCAAACAACATGACTCTAGGCAGACTATAAATTAATTAATCAAAAATTCAAAATAAAAATTACTGATACCTCTAAAACAAAACAAAAAAAAACCCGCCAACACACAAATTAAAGCAAAATCAGAACTAAAATACACTATTTTGTATTAATTAGGAACTGTACCCTGACCCAAGTGCCTGAAGAAAGATTCTTTCTTAAGTGGCCTTTTTAAAGGCCTACTATACACATACATAGGAAATTGGAAAGGATCTGCAATCTATTAAAGCAGCTTGAATTCATAAGGTGGTGTTTTCTCCTGTCCTATGGCAACAAATAATTATGTTAGGAAGTATGATGAACAACACTTGGTCGCATAAGTGCTAAGGAACTATTTTGCTTGCAGTCACTTTTAAAACCGTGTGTGTGTGTGTATCAGTGTTGGGTTATGACCAGTGCGCCCTGGTACGGGCGTACTGGTGCCTGCCAGGAGCACTGAGTACCGTTCCAGTACGGTGCTCCGGAAGGCCCACCCGTCCACGTGCGCTCCTTACCAGCATTTGAGCTCTTAAGGGCTTCTGCGCTCAGAGCGTTGCAAAGGCATCACAGAGCATCCCAAGCAGTAAATATGCATGCATGCGCTGCGCTTGTCCATGTGGCGGTCGCCGGGCCCTGTTGCACTGTACTGGTTGCACTGGGATCTGGAACCCACCACTGGTGTGGGTGTGTGTGTGTGTGTGTGTGTGTGTGTGCGTGTGTGTATGTATGTATGTATGTATGTATGGATGGATGTACCGTGTTTCCCCAAAATATGATAGGGTCTTATTTTCTTATGACCCCCCAAATAATTGGGAACTTTATGGGGAACTCTTATTATTTTTGAGGTGGAGGAGGCAGCAAGCATGGTCACTTCATGGCTGCTGTTGTGTTGCAATATTTTCAGAGAGGCTTATTTTGGGGAGAGCACTTATTTTAGCGTTTGCACTCAAAAGCCCGATTGGGCTTATTATCCAGGGAGGTCTTATTTTCAG